AATCATAGGTGGTTGAAATTCCTGTTAACTCAAATCTCATTGAGTATATCAAAGGAATAAGCTGATTCAAAGAGCAAGAGGGGAAAATGCAATTTTTATTTGGACAATCTACTCTTTTTATTACTTAGAGGTACAATAGGGTGTTACTATCATTCCCCTTTGGCTCTAAAGAAAATCAGTGGAGGAAGGATGTTAAACCTGCCATTGGTAGAAACAGGAATACAAGGAAAAAGGAAGAAGAGGAGTACGTCACCAGTTTAATTTAGGGTAATCAAATTCCAAATATAGAGAATCCTAACATCTGTCTTTACGTTCTTCAACTTTATAACTATATGCTGGCTCGATCTTTCAGGTCATAAAGAAGGAAAGATCGTGCATATTTTTCATTTTCATCATTTATAAGATAACATTGAATTCCTAAGCATACTTCTAGGAATTACATAATTGCATAAGAATATACTATTTCAAATCTGAAACCAAGGCCCCATGTCAGTCCAGTTTTCATGTTTAGGGATCACATATAGTAGCTAAAGACCATTTGCTGAAGCCTAAATCTGCAGCCTTAGATGTCAGGCACAGGCAGAAGGAAGGCCAGTCTAAGTATTGTGGTCGAAGATCTGTCTAGTAAGACATTATGTGAACAAGCAAAAATGTCTAGATTAATACCAACATTCATGCAAATAAAAAGAGATTATGAATCACGCAAGCCTATTCATTACATCTTAAGCACAGAGTAATAACCAAAATCCTATTCTTCAAAGGTAGCACCCAATTTCTGGAGTATGGTTTACTACAAATTAAAGTGAGTTCAATAATATTGCCAATGTTTAGAAAATCGACTCGGCCAAGGTACACCGGCCTCGGCCGAGGCGAGTTCTTGGGCGAGTCCGAGTAACTTGCACAAGTCCAGTCACTTTATTTTAAAGAAAATGAACATAAAAACATAATATATAAACTTAGTGGGCAGTTTTTTTATCAAAAAGCTAATAGCATGTGGGTTAGCCTACCCGACATAAAGGTGCCTATTTGTAGGAGGTGTAGAGTTCGATTCCTGCGGGGATACTTTTTCTTTTTAGAACCCTCTTCATATAAAAAAAAATATGACAGCTTTCAAAAAGTTCTCGTCACTGGGGAGATTCGAACCCCATTCTTTTTAGAACCCTCTTCATACAAAAAAAAAATGACAACTGACAGTTTTCAAAAAGTAATTTAGAACCCTCTTCATATAAAAAAAATATGACAACTGACAGCTTTCAAAAAGTAATGGTCGCTAGGGAGATTCGAACCCCAATCCCGGGGAAACGTATTCGTCAAGGCTAACCGTAGAGCCATTCAAACATAGATGACTAAAATTTGCCACGTTAGTATAAATAAAATTTATAAATATTAAGTACAACCTACTCGGCTGAGTCTGAGTGGCCTCGGCCGAGTCTCAAAACGTTGAATATTGCTTATAAAAACAATCAAAAGAAGAAATTGTTGAGTGTGGATGCCATAAACAACCCAGTGCCCTCAAAAAAAAGCAAGCACCTCTTTTTTGCTTTCCACATGATCATTGGTGTGAATCATCAATCGAGTTTGAACTACACCAATACAAAACCCTCGAAAAAGTTGCAACGATTATTGCTACTTTTATTGAAAAAGAAGCATATTGCTTCTTCCTGAGCATTGGAAACGCTTCAGCCAGGATGTCAATGCCACCATACCAGAAATAGCAAGTTTTAGAATTTGAAAAGGGAATAAATGAGTCACAAGGCATTTCATTTTCTTTTTTTGGAAAGTAACACAAGAAACCTTAAGCAAACCCCTACGAACAGAATACATCATCAAAGTTACTAAAGCACTGCAATTTGGTAATTGATCCTTACCCTATTTGGTCGGCAGCAGTCCTATCAAGGCCAGTTGCAGCTGTCCATGACTCTCCACAAAAGAAATTTCGACCCCCAACAACGATTGCAACCTGAGTGATATCACACTAAACAACCATCAGACAAAGCGAATTTGCTAAACCCATGAACCCCATGTAGGAATCAAATAACCCAAACTTAAATGAAATAGATGCAGCACTATTTTAAAAAATCTTGAGGCAAGAACATGGTTTTCATAAGACTACCTCTACACCAAGGCGATTGACTGCTACAACTTCTCTAGCAATCAATGAGGTCACCTACAAATATCAATGCAATAAAGTTAAATATAAGCGCTTAGATACCAAACACTATCCAAAACTTTAATCATTATATAAATACTCCCATTTGATACGTAACTCGTTTAAATTCATATACCTTTGGGTCAACATTTTGAGAGCCATTTCCAGCTAATGCAGCCCCACTGATTTTGAAAACCACTCTCCGCCATCTTGGGTTTGATAAAGACTTTGTCTTTAATGTATTTGGCAACCCACTGGTGTTGGGTGATACCACTGTGTATCTTTGAGGGTGGAGATCAGGAACAGAACCAAGAAAACCAGTTAATATCTCGAATAATTCTTCAACATCAATGAGAACATTACAAAACCAAATGTACCATGATTTCCATTATACTAAAACAATTATTGGATATTTCCAAGCAATGAGTGAGAAGAGTCAATGTTTCCACAGAAAAACCTTAAAACTGTTCATACAATTGCCTATAGGATAATATCAAGAAGGATGTTTCGACAGAGGTGTAAACGGGATGCAAATTGGGTTCTCCTAACCATCCTCAAACAAATATGAATTTCTGAAACTATAGGAGCATGGACTTCAAAACTTTGAACTTTAAAGAAAAAGGAGGAGTCCACATTTCCATAACCAGAAGCATAGACAGTCCAGAATTCCGATGCGTATATCCACATTTCTGAGAGCAGAAGCCCCAAGATTTAAATTCAAATTTCCAAATTTCACAGAGAGAGAGAGAGAGCACCTTTCTGAAATAAGAGGGAGCAGGACACACACACCCACCCACGCAACCACCCAACCAAACACACACGGTACACTCCCAAAATCCAAAATTCTAAAAGAGCTCAAAGAGAGCAAAAATCTCAACATTAAAACCCCAGATTCTGCACAAGTCCAAATAGAGAGACAGAAACTAAACCCACACCAAATAGGTAGCGCGCAAAACCCCATACTAGCTAGGTCAAGAGAGAGAGAGAGAGAGCGAAAATCCAAACAACAGGAAAAATATAGCACATATGCCCAAGATCAGAGAGGAGAGAGCGTATCTGTGTGTGTGTCAGTGATAGAAAAAAAGCAAGACATTTAAAAAAAAAAAACTAAAGAACCCTAATACTGAAGAGAGAGCGCAGAACCCCAACCATATTGAGACCAAAAACTCCAACACTAGATAGAGATAGAACGGAAAAACCGGAAAGGGGGAGAGAGAGAGAGAAAGAGAGAGAGCAATTACTTCAATAAATGTGAGACCAAGAAACCCCACCACTGTAGAGAGAGAGATAGATTTCAAAAAAGAAGGAAAGAGAAGGGAAGAGAGTGAGAGGTAGAGCGAGAAACACACACTCACCTCTTCGCCTGTCTCCCGCTGTTCCCCACCACACTCACCACTCCACTAGAAACCACCCTTTCTCTCTCTACCGCCTCCTCTCCCTCTCCTCCACTCTTCACCCCTCCTCCTCCTCCACCAACAATCTCCTCCATCTTCTTAAACCACGGCCAGTGACTCATTCCACTCCCTCCCATCCGTTGCCTCTCTGCTTTGTACCTTTTCTTCAAATTATCCACTTTATTCTTACACTGTTCAACGCTCTTCGTCCCTCCCTTTCCCCCCTTTCTCGCACTAACCGCCATGGCCACTTCATCCCAATCTCTCCCCCTCAAATTCCCCCTGTTTAACTCCACATACTTCTCCGTGTACGCCTCCAACAAACTGTTAATTGCACAATCACTCCATTCTTCTCTATCCTTCTTTATCTCTGAGCACGAAGACGATGAGACTGATAAGATTTTGGGGCCGCTGTGATGGTGGTGGTGGTGTTTCTTCGCGAAGGAGGAGTCGCCGGAATCCTCCGCCTCCTTGCGCTTCTCCGGCCGTATCAGGGTTTTCCGGTCGCCGGAGAAGGTGAGGGGGTCGTCGGGGAAGCAGAATGGGGGGCATTTTCCGGCGAAATCAAGTGTTTGTGGGGTGGGGTTGGAGGAGGACGGGGTCTTTTCGTGGAGGAGAGGGAAGTCGTCGTCGTCGTCGTCGCACGCCATTGGGGCGTTAGGGTTAGGGTTAGGGTTTGGCGATAGACAGAGCGAGAGAGGACGGCGTTAGCAGAGGGAAAGTGTGGAGACGACGTTAGAAGAGTGTGTTAGTGAGTGAGGTGCAACGTTTGGTCAATTTTTAAGACTTTCGAGAGAGAGAGACGGCGTTAGAGTGAGAGAGACCGTGTTAAATGGAGACTGGGAGTACCGGCGCCGTGACGGAGAGTGACGGCAACGTCATTTAGAGAGAGAAAAAGAGTTAATTTTTGGGGAAGGTATTTAATGGGGGGTATGGTTTTGTATAAAGCCGAGGCCCTAAACACTCAAAGTAAGGCCTATTTTCAAGTAGTGTTGAAGTACGCTGTTTCATTATAAAAAAATCTATATAATGAACTAAATATTTATTTTTATTTTTAATTATAAAATTTTTAAAATAGTGTATATTGAGAAGATCCATAAACGTTTAAAATTTTGAAATTTATGGTTTAGATAATACGTTGTAAGAGGCATTGTTTCTAAGACTTGAAATCGTTTTCTTTTTTATGTTCAAAGGTTGAGATAATATTTTCTTTTACGTTCAAAGGTTGAGATAATCAAATTGAAGATTTTTAGCATAAAAAAAAAGTTTGAAATGAACTTCAATTTGATTGTTTACGGCCTCACCATTATATAAATGTTTTACTTATTGGAAGCCCATTATTTGCGGGCTTTTGTTTTGGGATATAGGAGAAGAAGTTTGACTTCTCTTATTTGTTTTTCTTATTAGTCCCAGAAATTGGTGAGTGTTGCTGCAAAATTTGACTTGATTTTACCAACTTAATATAGCATTTGGAACATGGAAAAATATGCGCCTTCTCCATATGAGCAGGGCCGCGGCTTTACGGTATTCGGTAAAGTGGCGCATAAAAAATAAATAAATAAATAAATAATTAAAAAAAGATAAAGAAAGTTGAAATAAAGCATGGCGTTATGGACAAAAAGTAAAGACTCACCTCAAAATTCATTAGCGTTCAAAAACCTTCAAATTATTCATCTCCAAATTAATCATTATTGCTATAAAAAATTTAAGATTTAAAATTTTAAAAACAGTATGTATCATATAACACATTATCGAGACTCCTTATTCTAAAGTATCCACAAATCCGCTAATCTATACTATTTTTTTAGCAGCAAATTTCATAATCGGCTATAGAAATTGATTCTAAGGTCGTCATAGAGCTTTCTCGTGCTCACAATATTTTCCAAATGAAGTTTTGAGGTGAGGTTTTACCTTTCATCATAAGGCCTAGGCCTTATAAAAACTGCATCAAAAAATGTAGCTCACCTGTCTCACTCCGAATCATAGAATTTGAATATCTGAAAATGGCTCAAATCATGAAGAAATGGGCGATCCAAAAATTATAAGACATCTTTTAGCTCCTCAAATATATTATTTTATGGAAAGAGGTTGGTAATGTAATGTTGCAATTTTAATCAAGCCTCAAATCTCACCGCAAATTGTTCTCTCGATGCTTAAAAAGTATTAAATTGATCATTTCCACAAACACGATTGTGTATATGAAAAGAATTAGATCTCAAGCACTAAATTAGTGTTCGTGACACATCATCTTGACCGTCCATTTTCAAGTGTTTACAAATCCATTGGCATAATTTCTATCTTCTAACTTCGTAATAAAAATAGATATCCAGACTGGCATACATGCCTCCCACACTAAAACTAAATTACCCAACAAGGTTACAAACTGTAGCTTTACTTTTTATACTTTAATATCCGTCATGCAACCTTATAAACACAAAACCCTACAAAATACTTTCCCAAATTGGAGAACCAAAAGAATATTAGTGAGGTTTGTATAGGTTATCAACCTTAAACAATCACTGTGAGGTATGTATAGCGTATCAACCTTAAATAATCATGGTAAAATGCACCATAAAATCTCATTAAAAGACGTATTTTTGGCACCCAAACTCTTATCATAGGCTAAAAGTCCATTTTTCACCCCCAATATGAAATTGAAAGCTCCGAAAATAACACAAATCTACCAGATATATGAACACTTGAAAATCTTAAAAATAGACGATTTAAATAATGTGTTACAAGATGTAACATTTTTAGTACTTCAAATTTATTTTTTCTTTCATATCAATTGGAGAATTTTCTAGTGACAAAACTATCTTTTTTTATGGTTTTGAGGTGCAACTTACATATACATTATAAGGTTGACACCCTATAAACTTTTTCCTTACAAATATGGGCTCTTCTGTTATCGCTCCTTATGAGGACATTAATAAGTTGCATCGCTGAAAATTTACACGTTACCTATATCAACCTGTTTCATCTCACAATGTGATTTGAGATTCAGGGGGACTAAGAAAATTTATATATTCATTTAATGCAAACAAATTGGTCTAAGAAAAGTAAGCACCTAAAACTTTATCTGTATCCCAACTTCGGGTAAAAGAGGTAAGTTGTGTTATGTAATCGGCCAACATAAAATTTTACCAAAACTTTTATTTTTCCCACCTAATTCAAACAAATAAACAGCCCAAATTGAGGCAAGGTGTGCCATATCTCATGTCCACCTTCTTACAAAAAAAAGTATCAACTGCGTCAACACTTGAAAAAGTCCGGAATATTTTAGAACTTTTGCTCAAATTTTGACAGGAATCATCCTTACATGCAAATAGAGAGTCTATTATTGAATAAGATTCTCAACTGCCAAAAGGTAAAAATGATTTCTCATAGATAAAAATGCAAACAAACGAGTAGTTGTAAAAAAAAACCAGAGATTTCTAGCACAAGAGTATTGCAAAAACACAAAGATTGACGTGTATTTTTTGAGACGCCTGGTCAAATATAGCTCGTGGGCATTTTCGCCTTCAGGCGATCTCACCCAATATCGTAAAAGGACATGAAGAGCATTTATGTCCTTGTGAGGCTGCAGACAGGCCAATAAAAAGGAACCAAATACAATCTACAGAAACAGGATGTATACTGATCAAAGTTGATGATTTGCCCATTTAAGAAAGACTATTTTGAAAAATGTCAAATACACCCTCCTGATTCAAATCGAAGACAGCAATTTAAGGCAAAATTTGTTGCATCTCACATTTCCATGAAAGAGGATCCAATTGATAGGGAGGAGAGAAGATTAGATGCCATAGAAAGGCCTTCTACGAAGATTACAAGGATTACATGTCCATGATGCTGAATGTCTTGACAATGGTGGGTCCAAACAAAAAGTATGAACCCAACGATTCCCACATGCTCGGCACCTCAATAGACACTCCCCTGTGTCTCCACTTCGGCATTCATGACACTTGAAGGCCAAATCCTGCTTTGGTATTAAGAGCGATAGCCAATTAGAATTCAAAACAATTTAGAGAGTGAGAGAGTATTAGAAGTTCTGTATAAAGAGAATCGGTCTAAATAAATGCCACATTGATTGATCCTGGAAAAAAATTCTGGAAAAAAAAGAGGGGGGGAGGAGAGAGAGAGAGAGAGTGCGTGTGTGTGTGTTAGAAGCAATGTATAAAAAGAAGCAGGCTATGATGAACACCACATTGATTTCTCAAAAAAAAAAATCATGAATAACAGAGATAAAGAGAGATCATAATGTTCTGCACATGCTTGGCTGGGGATTTGAACAGGAACAAAGAGAAATAAATAGTCTCCCTAACAATGCCTCAAAAATGCTGATGCTTGAAAATAACTCGAAAACTCCTTGACAATTATAAAGCACAAATCCAGTCAACCACAAAAGAGATTGCATGCCTTTAAGAACCACGATAGTTGATGTAAAGATGTCAATGAACAATCAAGCTGAGGAAGCAAAGAGAAATTTTACAAACATAAAAGATTGAAATTACTCATAGAAGAAAGGGACGAAAGTAAGAAAAAGTGGAGAGTAAGAACTGATTAGTACCATTGCTGCAAAGCTTTGGTCTTCAGCCCCATGCAGCAAGACAACACTGGTATTCGCAGCCTGAGGCAGAGTTTGCGAAAACATTTTCTGGTCAGGGGATGTGGCATCCTCTAACCTGGTAATGCACACAAAGCAAGCCTTGCACAAGGGGCACGTCGATTCCTTTCCCTTGGAGGCCTGTATCATAAAACCGAAGCCCAATCTTAGTCTGGTAAGAAAGCATGAGCCTAGAGGTATTACAAGAGACCAAGACCTGTATTTAGTAATTGGAATTAAGTGTTGAATCAGCTCTCCGAACTTAAAAAGATGGTCAAGAATAAGATGTCCACATGCTTTGGGCATTTCCTATGAAGCAAAGAAAGAATGATACTTCTTTGCTCATTTTGATAGTTATCTTTCACTGATGACAGAGAAGAGTCTATAACATCATACTGATAATCAAGCTCACCTCTGAATACCTAGTCAAGGCAAGATAACTGAGTTTGAATGTTCCGCTCACATCTCTCCAAGACTACGAAGGATAGTCAAGTCATTACTAAACCATTGCATATTTCCTTTTTGTTCCTAAAATTTCCCATGCTTGTCCTTCATTGTGACTAAATCAATTCAATTAAACGCATCTCAAATATAACAATGCAGATTCCTATACAAAACTTAAGTATCATTGAGTTCAGGTCACCCTGCCAACCAGGACGAAGAATAATGAAGGGGAATCAGTCCTCCCACTGCATAAACTTTAAAAGGACTCAACATTTGTCAATGCAAAATGCCTTCTAATGACGATGGCTTAGAACCTATCCAAATAATGAAATAAATTATCATTGAACTGAATTTATGGATTGGAGACTAAATATCTTTTTCTTCTTTTGTTTACATATTATTGGTTATGGTAACTACACAATCTCAAACTGGACAACACAGTTGCTCGGAGTGGGAGCAGGAGGGGGGCCAGAAGAAACAGTGGCAGCAACATACCGACACTAGCAGGGAGCTCCCTAGGTTGGGAGTGCATTCTGTACACTTTTAATTAATAGATAACTAAAAATAAAAATTCAAATAATTTTTTTTTAAATCAATCATTCTATGATGCTAGCATTAGTAAATAAAAATTAATTAAAAATAGAACTTACATCAGCAATTATCAAGGATGCAAATTAATTCATTATTATTCAATAATATTATGATGACCACAGATTGATGAAGTTATAGCACTATGATGCACTACATGGCTTTTACACAATCATTATGATGTAGTTTATGATGCAACAAGTCTGGGACGAGACCCCAAATATTAGGGATCAAGATCCCATGGAGATCCCCACAAAGGAATGCCCAATCATGATCCCAGAGTAGGATCGCGACCTTAATTGGGAGATCCTAGTAACTATGCTGGACATCATTTCTAGAAATCATAGGTTTTAAAATCATTAAATTATAGTTTAATCAAACTGGGAAAAATTAAAGGCATATTAATTAGGTTTGAATTGATTCACCTATCTACAGAGCGTCAAGAGTATTTTTTTACATCTCTTCGGATAAAAATAGAACTTCTCATTTTCTGTTGACAAAAGTCTACAATATAGTCCATCATCTCTAAGATATGTTGTAGCCGACCCCCAATAATTGGGAAAAGGCTTCGATGATGATGATGATCTCTAAGCTATGTTGTAGAACCAGAATCATCATGCTGTGTCAAAAATCACAAAAAAATAACTTCAATTAGAAATTTGAAAGGCCTCATACAAGGTGGCACGAATGACTCATCAGTTAAATGTTACGCAACAAAGTCGCGTTGTGATTCTGCAACCTCAGTACCCAAATAAACACCAAATATTCACACCTAGAAGAACCTAGACACTTTAAAGACATTCCTCTGCCCATGGTTTAGACAAATAAAAGTATTCCAAAATCCAAAAACTTCATATCAAACAGTACCAGTGATAAATCAACAAAAATAAACAATGGTTACAATTTTACTTGCATTTCTAAGCTTTTCAGCATTTAAGTCCACAAATTGTTCAGAATACAAAATACTTCCTAGCTTCTCTGTTTTCAATATCCAAATTTTTTGGCACTAATAATATACTTGGGTCTTGCGGCTGTTGGCCAGTGCTCTGTATCTTATATTTTTCTTTTTCAAAAGTGTATACATCATATATGTTGCATTTTATTTTGGTTATATTTGTTGGTTCACCATGTCGGACCTGCATGGCAGTATGGAATTAGAAAAGACCGTAGAGTTAACATGTAAATTTTGTAGGCATACAAAACAGTGGTTGGATTAGTCACCGTAAGGATCACCCGGTGAGGCAGAGGGGTGATGTTGCACCATGAGCCCAGGTGCCACCAAGCACAAGGAAGCAGATATCTCGAATGTCACTATTTAAACATAGCATTCATATTTAATTGATATTATAGATGTCAATTTTGAGATTATTAATATTTTAGACTGTAAAATGACTATATGGCCCTCAGACAGGAATCAAACTCTTGGTATTCACACATTTTCAATAATTTAAGCAAAATATGCTACACATTTATCAAAATTTTTCCCACAAATCCACTTATTTCGATTTATAGAATTTTTTGAGATTTTTTTACATTTTATTCTGGCTCACTAAGGCCAAACAGGCAAGCCAGTCCGAGTGAGCCAGTTCCCTAGGTCAACTGGGACCCAGTGGGTGACCAGTTCAGCCACCTAAACCAATCGTTTCAACCTTAGTTGGGAAGCATATCATACTTTAGAAATTAGACTTGCAGCTATTGGTAAACTTATTTATTTGCTATGTGGGTTGGAGAACTTGGTGTCATCCAAAAACCCTATATAAAGGACCCAAGTATCCAAGTTTAGAATCCTAGAAATACAGGAAATAGGGTCAGTAACAAGGAGGACTTTCACATTTAGAGGGCCCTATATTCCTTTTTAATAAACAAAGTTCACATATTTGTTTATAAATTATACTAGTCCTCGAAAGCATCAGTACACCCTATATAAAGGACCCAAGTATCCAAGTTCAGAATCCTAGAAATACAGGAAATAGGGTGAGTAACAAGGAGGACTTTCACAACTAGAGGGCCCTATATTCCTTTTTAATAATCAAAGTTCACATATTTGTTTATGAATTATACTAGTCCTCAAAAGTATCAGTCTGCTTGGTCTCATAGTGCATTCCAAACTGTCTTATCTATATCGAGTTCCAAGATCTCTAAAATTGCATGCATAGTGCATTCCCAAATTGTCTTGAGAGACTATCTTTGACATATTCTAAATTCAAACAGGCATCCCCTAGAGCTCCACTCTGCACCTAGCTGGCAGCTTCGCAGAATGTCGTGGTTTCATTTGCATCAGAGAAGGAAACCCTCTCATGACAAGCGTTTTTCCCTCTTGTAGATGTTTACAGCAATAATAGTGTCTGCTAAAGGACATATATGCCCAAAGAAAGCCAACAAAACATCAAAGTCGTTGAGCTGAAAATTGAAGTCATAGCCTCCATACTAGAAGCAGGAGCAGAGGATACCTGACTGTCCACTATACAAGATTCACCGGTTTAGCCCTTGCATTTCCATTTTGAAATGATACAACTGTTTCTCATGGTTGTTATTGCCTTATGGTATGGGTCTTTCAAACTTAGATAATGGTTAATTTGAAGGCTTGAAAGAAAAGTCATAAGCTCAGCCTTCTCACAAACGTGTTGTTGCCAACTTGCCATTATATGAGTTTTCTTCCAAAAAGTGACTATTTTTTTATGCACTTTTCATGTTAATAAACTTGGCATCCACACACATCTATATCTTGTGACTCGAGGATCTTGTGCACCCATTTATAAAGGAGAAAAACATCAGTAAGATGGGATTCTTATCAATTGGCATTAGCACCCTTATGATGCTCAAAGATTCAGGAATGGTAGCATCATATTCAGCACAGGAGACCTAAAGGCTAGGAACTGAAGAAGTTGGCCACCCAAGTTCATCAAGAAAAGAGAAATAAATCAACTAAGTTCTTGTGCTTAGAAATCCTAAGGATTCCACCACGTTATCATAGAATCTATAACAACTGGCAGCACTTTCATCATAAAAGTGTCCGAATTTCATATTCTACAAATATTTTAATAAATTCTTATCATTTATTTCACAAATACTTTTGTTCTTCTTCATATCTCTCTCTCTGGATCTCTAATTCACAATATATTGCATTATTCCTTTCTAAGGATACGGTTGCAGATTAACAATGGCATAGGTAGGTAATACATAAGGGCGTTCCTGGTCTTTCAGACCTGGTTTTTACAGCAACTGCATGTGAGTTTTAACTTCAATTGCTCAGAATGAATTAATAGTAGAAATTTGAGAGTAACATCCTTGCCGGTATCAAGTTGAAAGACCAGTTGACAATTCTCTCTAGCCCAAGCACCAGAATGCATTTTTGTAGCACGTAGATTTGTAAAGCAGAATGTCAAATTTAGCTAAGTAGTTTTGGAGTGACCCTCCTTAGAAACAAGTGGAGCACAAAAAGAACTATAAAAGAAGCAATAAAAACAATTTAATTATCACCAACAATCATAACTAGAATTTATGAGGATGAAGCTGAAACAAGACAATTTAGAGAGTTAATACATACCATTTGGTCCGCCCAATCTTGAATGCAAGAAAAGCAGAATCGGTGCCCACATGAAAGCACACCTCTGGTTGAACTGAAATCGGTCCAACAAATAGCACATGATACATCGGCCAAAGAAATAGGCAAGCCAAGCACTGACCCTGCTTCTTCAACAGCTTCTACCCCTATACTTTCACATCTACCAATCTCTTTGTCAGCATTTCGTGAAGTCAACAAGCCAGTATCTAACTGATCCTCGTTCCTAATACTTTCTGAATTAAGAGAATCACAATCAGCACTGCTGCTACTAATGACAATGTTAAATTGATTTGGCTGGTTTTCTTTGATCTGATCAAGTTCAACGCCATCACTCAAAATGGTATCATAGCATGAACTTTTCTTCACAAGCCGGCGACTTTTACGTGTCGGAACAGAAGTCGATGCAGGAGGAGAGTTGTTTCTGGTGGTCATATGGAGACTCGATTTGTGGCATGTGGATGAAATACAAGCTTTAGATTCAGCAGACTGTTCAAATAACAGAATTCAAAAACTAAGTAACTGGCATGTCTTGAAGCTTTAGGGGTATGGTATGGAGTACATACAGACTCAAATGAACCATGGGAACATATCTATAAGATCAATCAGCAGGGTAAGCTCCATTGGTAGGTTACAGATGTTCAAGCAACAGGTTTAGCTTAATAATTATTAATACGTTCTGAGATTCAAGACCACATAACCCATTGAAAGTGGAAAACCTCAAGCAACAGGTTTAGCTTAATAATTATTAATAGGTTCTGTAATTCAAGACCACATAACCCATTGAAAGTGGAAAACCTAAACAAGGTGCAAAAAGAAAAGAAATACATTCTCCTTTTCTCCTGAAACTCTGATAGGCAATAATAACAGGTCAAGTTACATACATAAAACTGCAAGTCTGCAAGGAACAAAAAGATAACAGCTTCATTTACTTGCAAACCATATGCAATACATTACCATTACTCGACCTGATCTGTCTACAAGCTGTAGCGGAGGCCTTTCCTTGACTTGCAGCAGTTCCCTTAACTTGTGTTTTTCTCTGGATAACTTATTCATCTTTGCAGTCCTATCACTCGATCCTGAATTAGAATTTGCATTCTGCATGTTAACAGCAATTAAACATTGAGACATGACAAACAGTATAATCAAAAACATTTAGACTAACTTTACAACCACTTATCCATTTATCCAACATCACAAGTTATCACAAACTAGAGACCATCCTGCACAAAATGCCATGAAACGCCTAATATATAGAGCTCCAAGATACGGTTGTCTATGTTCTGTTTTTGCTTAAAAATGCAAAATAAACCATTTTTAAAGATCCGCTAAGACCCGGTACATTAGTTCCAGTATTCTGCAACATACAGCTTGATTACCTCACTTCTTAAAGAGGACCGAAACTGAGCCAAACTTTCAACACTAGAATAGCTCCTGTCAACATCAAGTGATTGAAAAGCACGGGATTGATCAGGTAACCTTTTCTTCTTATGCCCAGTCTCAACTGCATTAGCTGGCACTTCCCATGATAAAGGATCAACCTCCTGCCCACTGCAAGACACTAATGAGACATTGGCGGAAAAGAAAAATTGGAGGATCATTATAGACAACAATTTGTAACAGGAAACTTTCAGTGCAACATCAACATCGACCATGAAGGCCTCTTATTGAGCTCTAGAAATAAACTGCAACTTCTGGATGTGAAGTTCAGTTCCACAATGAAGTTAGATTCAACAAGAAAGAATAAACATAAATCATTAACATTTTAACACCATAATGTTTTCACTTAGTGGTTGGAATTCAAAGATGGATACGGTTATACGCAAGCCATGCAATACAGCCAAAGGTCTAAAATCAGCTTGTAAGTCATGACAATAATTGTTTGTACAGCAAATTCTTTCATGAAACTCAGATATTCCCTTATCAAGCAAAACACGAGAGAATTCCCATGGTCAAAAAAGACCAAGTAACATCATAAGAAAGGAGCATACAGCATACCAAAGCATGTTATAGCCACTTTCTGGAAGCAGCTTCCCTGCCTTCATGCAATCCTCAAACCAGCGATGGTTGACCACTTTTGTCCCAAGCTTCTTCGCCAAATCATATTTTCTTCCGTTGAATTGCCAACACACCTAAGGAAACATCATTTGCAGAAGTTAAAACAACAATTTTCATAAGTCAAATAAACATGATCTCATTAACTTTATCACAAAAATAAAAAGTGAAACACTTAATTTTAAGGCAAACATTCCAATAAGTAAACCACAAATATGATTGCTTTGAACACCTGTAATGAGAAAAACATAAACTCACCAAATGTGATGTGGACTTTGACATATTGCCTACATAGTGAGCACCGGTTTGATTGATGAGTTTAATGAGTTTGAGTCTCCCCACACCATGATATCCGCTTACTGTAGCAACTACAGAATCCATGCCAGGTACAGGATACTTCCATTTAACTATAAGGCAAAAAAAGGTTCAAATGAAGAAAGCACATTGAATCAAAAATTCATAAAAATTGAAAATGTGTTAGCTTAACCTTATTCTAACTGGGCTGCTAGCTGGAACTTTAAAGTGAGAAATGACATTAAGATTTCTTTCAAAATAATTACTACCAGAACGAAATTAGTATCAAGAGAATAGCCAGTAAGATAACAAAAGTTTATATATGATATCAGGCCTCTAGATGCACAAATCACCAAATAAACAATAAAGTAAAGGTAGTGAAAATTGAAATTATGTTTATTTACAATCAGAAAAAAAACAAACAACAAATATCAGATTATAAACGAAATATTTATATGTATATACTAATCATATAAAAAAATTAAAATGGAATAATGAGTAACAAAAAATGGCGGACAAATGTTGAGCCCAATTAATTTATATATTAACATCACAAAATTTCATAGTGCGAAAATCTTAAATAAGGCATTTTCACTCTTCACATATAGATCCATGATGTAAAATTCATGGCATTTTATCTAAAATGACGAACTGGAAACCCAAATGTGCCAGCATATACAAATATTGACATGAAATTACATTCTTTCAACTAAGAACTTACCTAAAAACCTGCAATTACAGTAAATAGAAAACCAAACACGGAGTTGTAGAAAATAAACCCATAAACTCTTAGATAGAAGTCCACAAATAACAAAGACTATAGAGAATCGAAGGAATGCACAAAAAACAATCCCATTTTGGACAAAGGAAAACAAATTTACCGAAAATAAAAAATATGGAGAGATCTTGAGAAAATAAATCAGCTAATACCTCTTATATCTGGTTCTAGGGTTTCTCCCTCCATGACTGTCACAACTCAACTCACCATCCAGCGTCAATTTTGAAAAAAACGAAAGCGAGGAGGACAGTGCAAGGCTCTTTATTCGTAGCCTTGCAGATGTTAATGACGACCTTTAATTCAAAATAATTTCGGAACTGCCCCAACTAAATTTTCATATTTAGTGAAAGGGATTATATACGAAGTCAGTTAAATTTGATACATGCGGGTCACGATTTTTTACAACGATTTGATGTAAATTTTGATAGATTAGATGTATGACAAAGTTTAAAAAATAATAATTTGAAGTTTGAGTTTGATCAATGAAATAATTGTAACCACCCAATTTCACATCCAAATGGTCAAAATTAATGTGACCACTTTGAAAAGTAGCCTCTTATTTTATATAGCGTGCGGTTTGTTTAAGGTTACCTTTAACGATCAAATTAAGACATAGCTTCAAATTTTATCATAAATATAATTTTGGTATAAAAAAATTTTAGAATAGCTTGAGAACCTATTTTCATCTCTAATTATAGAATCTTAAACTTCAAAAATAGTTCAAATCAAGTGGATCTATAAATACTAAAAAATCTTGAAAATGGACGGTTTAGATAATGTGTAGCAAGATACACTATTTTTAAGACTCGAAATTCTTTCTCTTTTCATATTTATACATTTTGATGTCGAGATGATCAATTAAAGGATTTTCCAACATCAAAACATCCTTTTATGATAGATTGTTTAGGTGCACCTTAATTCTACATTTTAAGGTTGCAACATTATATAAACTTTTCTTTTGTTATAAATTGGGATTGTATACACTAATACCATTTACCTATTATACAAAGAGTTCGCAATTACTTATAACTATCCAATGTGAAATTTGATAGCATAGATATATCAGAAAATTCGATAAAATTTCATTTGAACTTTGAGCTTAGTCAATAGAACAATTGCGGCTGCCCAATCTCACATCCAATAGTTTAGATCAATTGTGATACATTGTACAAAAGGTGTGAGGCCTTTGTACTTTTCCTTTTAAATTTCATATGCTAAGTTTCTCTATTGTCTGGTTTTTATTTCCCGAAATACCCATTATTTCGGCATTTGAAGAGTTAAAATACCTCTTTTTTTTAAGTAAATAATGGTTTCAAGACTTGATGTGTGTTTGAGTGAAAATAGGGGATAGGCACTTCAAGCGTGGAACTCGCTTTTTCAAGTGAACACACGAGTCATGACATTTTGAGTGCCCAACCCACTTGTCTTTCAAGTAAGTGCGTTTATAACTTGCTCTCGTGTGAACATACTATAAACTTGCTCCTTTGAGCAAAATAGCTACTTAATAAGATATTTTCAATATGAAAACTTGAGATCCACTTAAAAATCACAATCAAAAAATTATTTTAAAAAAGTAAAATTGGATTTTGAATTCGTAAACATTTAGATCTAACATACAAAACCTAGATGATCCTTATTCAATCTTGGATATTAGTTAACTATGCACATAAAACTAAAGAGAACTGTGTAAAGGTTGGTCCCTAAGTTGAAGGTGTTACATCCCAAAACTAAAGGCCTAAAAATGCGCTTAGTTTGGTTTCAACAAGGAGCAAGTTTGCTCTCCAAGGAGCATAGTATGCATCTACTTGAAAAAAAAAAAGAACAAAAAAAGAAAGAAAGAAATTTAGTTTTAACACTTTTAATAGATAACGAACACTCAAACATGAGACATGTTCTCAACATTTATGTATTTATAGTAAAATAATAAAAATTATAATGCAATACAATTATTTTTTTGGAAATCTACAGGAACAAGATTTTCAAAAATTTGAATGATTTTGTGAATCTTTTTTTAATCCAATATCTTGTCGATTGGGCCGATTCTCCGATCCGAGTCATCGATCTACCGATCAGACACGGTTTTTTATTTGGTCGATCCAGGTCACCAATCCATTTTTAAATCATACATTTGAATAATCTTCGAGATCCTACCTATTAATTGCTGGTTGTGTGTTTCCATCTTTTTGTATGCTTGTATATTTTTTCTTTTTCTTTTTTTTTTTATCCTGGGTGTCGCTTTGGTGCATGTTGTGCTTCGCCTCAACCCTAGCCCACAAGGTATCTTTTCAAGAAGTTTGCGATTTGACAGTGGAGGTTATTATGATGGAATATTTGAAAGTTGCTTTGTGTGGTTTAGTTGGAGTTACTGGTGTTGTGTAATCTTTTAAGGTTAGGGTCTTTACTGTACTTGAAAGTCAAGGTTGTTCATCCCTGGAAGCAGAGAGTGCTGCTTGTATTATTCTATTTCTTCCCCTCATTTTATTGCACTCCTTTTGGAACTTTGCTCATTTATCTAATGAAAATTAACAGGTAATGTCCCAAAAAAAAAAAAAAGTACATGTTTATAACATTTTGTGTTAATCTCATATTGTTTGGTAATTGAAGTACCAAATCTATATAAAACCTTTTTTTTTTTGTGAAAGCAGTGAGTTCCATCTTGTGGTTTGCATAATAGTGCAACGAATATGGGAATCATGTTTTGTGGAACCGAAAGTTCAACCAAAACAAACACTGCCGTAAATGCCCAAATCCCAAATTTTCATGCTAGGCATATTTTTTAAAGTAATTCGACTTTTACTTTTGTGGAAGGAAAGTGGCTGGGTCGTAATGGTAGCGCCCCATATTTAGTTATTATGTTGTGGTTTCAAATCCTGTTAACACGCCCCACTAACACTTTCAAAAAAGCTAACTCCCTAATCTATATGAAAAAATAAATAGACACTTTTCTTCTCCACTGGATTACCCAAAAAAAAATTACTTTTGAGGACACTCCTCAACAAGAGGCAATGATTGTGGGTCATTACTCGATTTATGCATGTCACTTGTGTGTGTGCTCCTTGTACAAGGGCCATGCCGATTTGCTTTGTATTACTCCAATTTTATTGCTCCATAATTCTCTATGCTTAGAGAGACAAAAAAGTAGCAAATAGGAATGCTCCATCAATTAATTGCAACCTTATATAAACCTTTTCTATTATAAATTAACAAAAAAGCTGAATTTCCCTATGATGCTTCATTTAGAGTGCAAAGCCGCTGTCGAAAAATAATTTATTTTTCATCAAAAGGCATATTCGAAAATATCTAAAAGGAAGTTACAATCTCAGTGCTCTAAAGGCATTTCGAACCTCAATTAATATCTTCATTTGGGTATGTTTAGATGCCTTTTATATATAGGTTGAATGCATAAGCACGTGAGAATGAGTTGGGACCTTGGCGGTAGTACCAACAAATTATATGATGAAGTTTCTAACTCCATTCTTACCAAAGTGTTGGAGCCCAAATCCCCACTAACATATCCTACTGATCGTCAATGATACGCCAAATAACTAGTGTTTTAGAATATGTGAGTCAAACCAGGATTACCTAATTCAACCATGAATTGGTGGGTGGATATTCGGGTTTGAATCTTGAAATAGTCAACTTCCACCTTTTTTTTTTTTTTTTCTCGATTCTCACTTATCTTAATTGTGAATCCTAACTATCCATATGGGTAGAATCGGTGGCCTAGTTGATATGGTTTTCAAAACACTGTTTGGATAAGTACAGAACAAATGGAATACTATTTTACACATACCGAATAGATCAGATCGGTGTAGCAACTTGTACACTACATGCAAAATGCCCTAACCCATGCAAATTCTTCTTCTTTTTTTACTTTGTGTTAACAGAAACTTTTATTATCAGAAGCTGTATAGATTGAAAATACAAAAGTAACGAAAAGGAGAGACAAAATCCATATCCATATGCGAACTTACATTTTCATTTCTAGGACACACATAGTGAGATATTTGAAGTCCGGTCCCGCTAGGGAGTTGGGCACGTTTGGTTCGCCAGCGAGTTGGCACGTTGAAAAATATTTTCACGTGAAAAAATTCTTTTGTGTGGTGGTGAAGTATAGGAATATTTTCATACTATTTGGTCTCAATGCATTTTTTCACACCAATTGGTAGCTAATTTGTGTGGAAATATTCTCACACTTAACCACACGAAGAAGTTTTTTTTAAGTGAAAATATTTCGCAGGAATATTTTTGCACGAACCAAACGCGTATGCTGCTTGGTTTCTTTCCATATCCATGTGAATAAAGTTCTATTTCTCGTACATTTACATGCACGCTTATTAATAGGTCTTCAAGTTAAATGCTGTCCACATAGTTATCTTTCAATAATCCACATTTTTTTCTTAAATACTCGAGAAAATTACATAAATATCCATTATACTTTACGTTATTACGGATTTATCAAATAGTTTCTGTTATTACTTGTATGTCTATTTTTTACTTTTTATAACATATTTTTTTAAAAAATACGCTTTTACCCTTTTTCGGATGTTGAACAACCGAATTGGCGGGTTTTTCAGATATTCAACATTCGAAAATATGCCAAAAGTTTAACATTCACATTTTCATTTTTGGGTATTGAACATCCGAATTGAAGGGTTATGTCGATACATTGTATTCCTTGTGAAAATGGTTTTGGATGTTGGACGTCCGAAACTGTCATATTTTCGGATGTTCAACATCCGAAAATGTCATACTTTCGGATGTTCATCATCCGAAATGACTACGAAATTTCAGAGACTTTCTAGAAATTCAAATTCATATTTTCGGATGTTGAATATCCGAAAATATGACATTTTTTGATGTTCAACATTCGAAACCATTTTTGGATGTTGGACATCTGAAAGCCCCTTCAATTCGGATGTTCGACACCCAAAAATGGAAATGTGAACATTAAAATTTTGGTCTATTTTCGGATGTTGAACATCCGAAAAACCTTCCTATTCGGTTATTCAACATCCGAAAAAGGTTAAACTCATCTTTTTTTAAAAAAATTACGTTATAAAAGGTAAAAAACGGATATACATGTAATAACATAAACTATTTGATATATCCATAATAATGCAAAGTATAACAGACATGTGTGTAAATTTTTCTAAATACTTTATCATATTAGGTTTTATTCTTACCTCACATCAGGTTTTATTATTATTATTAATAATAATTTTATAAACATTTACACGCAACTTTCCATTAAAGTCAAAAAACGATTTACAAAATATACAAGAGTAACATAAAACCAAAATTTAGTGGAAATTAACAACCAAAAAAGTATGGTTGACACCACCCTTAGCTAAACAGTATGCTTCCTCATTGGCTTCCCTGTAACAATGACGAATCTCAACATTATGCAACACTAAGTAATCCTTGATTTCATGAAGTAGGTATTGTAGTCTCCACGGAGCGGGGTGTTAGAAGTTATAGCACCCACATTTGATGAATCTCCTTCAATGATCTTTGCACATTCCCATCTTGCACACTCACATTAGGTTTTATTATTACAAACTTGGTGGTCTATCAAGCTAAACGATGTCCACATAGTTATTTTTCCATAATCCACATTTCCTTCTTAAATACTTTATCACATTAGGTTTTATTCTTACCAACTTTGATGGTCTATCCATCCATAGGATGCCCATCTATAGTATATGATTCGCTCTTCCCTCTCTCCAAAGAAACACTTTTTCTCTCGCTTGACAAATAATACCCCATAATATATATCTTCGTCACTTTTTTTATTGAGAAAATTCATCTTCATATTTGTCATATTTGAAGGTGAAATAATTATTAGGAATTAGGTTTGGGTAAGAGTTGCGTTTTTATAGCACTACCTCTCAAATTTCATTTCTTTGTAACCTTATCAAAAAAAAGAAAAAGAAAAAATAATAATATAAAAAGTAAGACCAAGAACCCATCATAAGTTTGTTATGCGGCTAATAGTCTTCAAATTAATTATTTCAAACCCAAAATGCATGTGTCAAAAAAATATTTTAAATCATAGAAATAGTGCATCTTGTAAATTTTAATCATTTGCATATGTGCTCGATCCATATCATTGTTGGGACTTTAAATTTCATAATCAAAAGTGACAACATCATAATAAAAAATGACAACATATTTGAGGTGTGCCTTACTTTAATAATATAAAGTTTACTTTAATAATATAAAGTGTACTAAGGTATGCCTTACTACAATAGTATAAGGTTTACGCCTTGTATAAATCTCACCCTTCAATATAACTACCAACATAGGAAAAAAAACAAAATTCAAATTACATTCTCCATGTGCCTCAGAAAAAAAAATAGTCTAAACTCCCGAGACTATGGTAGAGGAATCTCCCATATAGCTCGGGGAGTAACTGTACAACAAGCTCCCACGGGGCATGCCATAAAATCTCTTGTAGAGACCCCTGGGTAGATACAATTATCTCGACAAAGACCCCCTCTCTCCTTCTCTCTCTCTTAACCCTTTCTTCTCTCTGCAACATTTGCTGAGGAACCCTTTGGGTTTTTTTTCTCCTCCCCATTCCGCGTCTCTCTCTCTCTAAGCCTTTGGGTCTCCGATCCTCGTTACCTGGTAAGCTCCCCACTACATACTGCTACCCATCTCTCTCTCGTTCTCTCTCTCTCTCTCTCTCTCTCTATCTATCTTTATGGGTTTCAGTCTTTCAGATGCTGTGGCAACCTATATTCATTTTATAAACTTTGGTTCTCTCTCTCTCTCTCTCTCTCTCTCTCTCTTTATGATAGTTGGGTTTCAGATGCGGTGGCAACCTATAATCATTTTCTCAACTTTGCATTTTTAAACAAGACCTACCCATCCTCGCTTAACATGTTTGCTTTATTGCCTTTATCACTTGCTAAGGTTTGACGCTTGCTTTATGTAGTTTTGCTCCTACATCCTTGCAATTACCCTGCTTTTCTCTCTATATTTATTTTCTTCTATTTTTTTGGGCTGGTGTAATTTTTTGTGGAGAACCCTAGGTCTAAGGCTTTTGTAAGTTTTATTCTCTTTCATGTTTGTTGGACAATTTTTTTTGATGTATATATTCCTTGCGAGTTCGTTGTGAATCTGTGAATAATGATGATAAGTTAGTTAAGAATGTTCTTACACTTTTGTTTTGCGCAAGATAGATGTGCGTTTTCCTGAAAAATGAACAAGCAATGGTTGGGGTTGGATGACATAGACACTTTGGGTGTGTGTGAATCAGAAAATCTACTAATAATTCGAACTGTTTGTATTTTGGAAAATATACATAATAGTTGCTTGCTTCTTACTGCATGGGAGGTTATTATGCTATAAGTAATAGGTTTTTTTTAATGACTATTTGGTTTTCTTTTCCCTTCATGATTAGGATTTTTCATTCTTATAAATGCATGATTTTTCAGTTTGTTTTAAAGTAAGAAATAGTTTGAGTATTGCTATTAGTTTTTCAGTTTCTGCCCCAGCTAACTTTGAGTTGGTGTTGGAATGGCCATAGCAAATGAGTCCCACATTTATAGTGATCGCTGTATTTAGGAATATGGGTGAAAGTAAGACGAACGTTTTTTCTCTTATTATTGATGCGACGAGTTATTCACCGCATCAAAAAATGACCCTTAGGATATTGAATGATCGCTAATTTCATAGTTGTGGTTGGTATTGTTGTTTAGATCTGCACATCATTGAATGGGTCAAATAATGTAATTTGGGAGGCATGCTAGGAATGAAGTTGTTAGGCTTGGCCATGGAAAAGAAACTAGACTACAGAAGCTAAAATTACATTTTGTACTTGGATGTCTCTATGGAGTTGCAAGGCAAGACAAGGTGAGTTGGATTGTTTGTAGCAAAGATCAGAAGGAACATTCTCATGCTTTTCATGGGAAAGAGAGTTAAATTTGTCTTTCTCTTGCTGTGTACTGTAACTTTCATTGAATAAGGTTAACTTACATGTATAATCTTAACAAAAATATGGTATATTCCTATACAAAATTGGCTTGAATAGCACCGGAATTTTGTGACAACTGACAATGAGGGATTGTTTAGCGACACCCTCTTTTGCCAAGCCATTCACGTCTTTGTTTTCCTTCTTCCATACCTGCCGAAGCATTACCATAGTTGCTAATGATATCGAGGTTTCCTCAAAAAAGTTATAGAGGTTCCATGGGAATTTATTTTTCTTGGTCCTGCATTATAGCATTATTTGGCTTCCTCAAATTGTCATCCAAGCATCTCCGTCCAGTCAACAAAGCTAGAACGTTGGCCTGATTCGAATTAAAATTAGGAATAGGGCTTGAAAATGAGAAACAGAATGTGACCCAAGTGATCCCTTATGAAGCCCCCAATACTTGCCCGACCTTGGCTACCCTGACCACTCCCATCAAAATTTTATTTTGCTGCCCCCTTCGCTTGGAAATTCAGGTAAAGTGTCGCGTTCGCTTTGGTAGTCTGCTATTGACTAGTGAGATCCAATGGTTTTAAAAATCTACTGTGTACTCCAAGAACTTCATCTTGTTGTTGCCCACGAGACAATGTTGGATTCTCTTCTGTTCATTAGCCAATCCAGCTTGTGACTCTGTGGTTAGAAGATCCTAACGTTCTGTTTGAGCCACATGTACCATAAAATTGTGATCATAGTGGTACACTGTACTATCGCTCCAGATTTTGGCAATATTTGGCATCTCTGAATTTTGGAGGAGGCTGTAGAATCTAGTTTCCTCTTAATTTAGTCTGAGATATAATATCGTAGGAAACTTTTATGTGATGGTCACTGGGTATGTGTATAACCGCAGGTCATGCCAAAACTTGATTCTTGTATCATTCATTGCTGTAACTTTGTATTTCTATGAGTTTCTCCTTTACTTGATTGACTACTTTCCAAATTAAGGTTTGATATCCAAGAGGATTTACCTGCCTTTCTCACTAAACAACCATGCTCTTCGGCCTCATATTTGTCTCCTTTCCCTCTTCCATAATTGTTCAGTTTTATTCCCCCAATCTCTACCACCACTTATTGATTAATCTTGATTGATCTCCCGCTATTTGTTTGTGCCTAGACTTCCATTAGTTTTTGGTTTATGTACGTGATCACATTTCGCTATATGCATTTTCCTCCTATCTCTTATAACATTCCATTTGAACTGTCCTATCAACTTACCACAATCCTAGAATAAACAGGAAGATTGGATAAAGTAGAGTTAATTAAGGTTATGCTGCTAGCAAAGGATAATACCTGTATTTCATGAGTCTAACATCCACTCAAATCTTTCGTTGATCCATTCCATACTGATTTTGGGGGTTCCCCCATGTATCACATCTCAAACTTCTGGCCAGACCCCTAAATTCTTCATCAAGGATCAGAATACACATAAGCTGTCTCCGTCATATTTATTCGAATCCCTGAGATCACTTTAAAGTGCTGCAAATATAACCACAAGCTACTCAGCTGCTCTTGAATGGGTTCACAAAATATCAAAGTATCATTAGCACACCGTAAGTCCTTGATTGGGACCTAGTCAAAAGCCTTGCATCATACGCTCCCTGCAATGTTCTGCTTAAAGCATCCCTAATATGGCAAATAAGAAAGTGGAGAGAGGATCCAATTGTCTTACAATCCTAGAGCTTGAGAAAAGTCCTATAAGAGTACCATTATTAATACTGAAAATTGGGCAATAATGAATTCATGCCTTTATGTCTCCTACCCCTCTCATGGAATTCATGGAACATGGCTTCTTAGTGGCTTAGTTTATCTCAATATTCTTGATATAATAGGGGGAAACCATCTAGACTAGGAATATCTCTGGCGAATCCAATAGTTTCTCTATGTATTTCTTCCATTCCGCATGGTTGTTCTAACCAAGCTTACATCTCCTGTAATAATCTTTGAGTAGGTACTTTTGCTAACGGCGCCTTTATCCTCTCTGTCTTTGCTTAGGACCTCTAAAAGTTCTTACAATTGCAGCCTCTATGTCATCTTTGTTTTCATAAGTTCCCCCTTCCACTTGTTTACCTTGAATGTTGTTCAATATGCGTCTGCAACTTGCTATTTGTGGAAGGAACTTGCGCTTTTGTCTTTCCTTGAGCGTCATAACTCTGGATCTTTGTATAGTTACTGGGTGCTCCTAAGGCTCCCTCTCCTGCCTCGGGATGCAGTTTAGGAGCTGGAACTTATTTCCAATGCAGTCCCATTATTTTGAGAATTTTTTCCTTAATTTTTTTTGTTGAGGAAGAGCCCGTTCTCTCCTTTGTCGGCCTCCGTTATGTGGCCTACAAAATGCATCACAAGGAGCGGGAAACATTATCATTCTATATACAATTTTAAAAGAGTACTCGGGCATCAAAATTGTTCCATTTTCTTTATGAAATTAATCTTATTTTTAAATATTTATTTTACTTATTTATTTTTAATATTTGTTGTATGAGTGTTCGCAACAAGCAACGATCCCCTACTCCTGTTCCGTCTCCCAACAACTATGGATCTTTCGTGCCAAAATATTTCTTCCACCCTCTTGCGTCCACTTTGGGGCAGTGTTAGTCATCAATGAGGTGCCTTTGTTCTTCTAATCAATGTTGTCAAGTTTGTTTTGCTTTGGCCAAGAGGCCGAAGGCTCGGGGTTTTTGACACAGGCTGATGCAAAACGAAACATGAATTACTTTCTTTTGTATTAGTTGTCATAATTCACAAGGTTGTGCTTTATGGTCCCTTGGGTGAAAGCCCTATCTATGAATTTCAGGACTCCAAATTTTGGGGATTTAGCCTCTTGAACCTTGGACCAGCCAAAATATTTCATATGCATTTTGCACATGCCTGAAAATAATAGCATCCTAAGATTGAATGCAGACCTTCCACATTTTGGATGGTTAGATCTAAGTGTTTAGAAACTTAAAATCGTTTTTTTTTGTGGGAAAATACTCATTTGGCGATTCTGGAGTGGGTTCCAAAATTTTAGATCGAGAAAAAATGGAGTTTTACATGAGGGAGCAAGTGTACAGTATGCTCCCTTGGAAGCAAGCTCTTTTTTTGCCTAACTTTTGTAGTTCCTTATACAATAGAAATCAGTGACCTTTCGACATCTATTAAAATCTTGGTGTTTATTAAAAACTCTAGGTCTAAGAAGGGTGAGGACCTTAAACTTTCCCTTAACCCATCCCAAGCTTGGGTAAAGGAGGTGGGTTGTGTTAGGTAGGCAGCCATCGTAAAAGTTTGCCAAATCTGTCCAATCCTGAATCTACGTCAATTGCTTATGGCCTCACTAAGGGTATGACCCTTGATAGAGCAGAATGGCGGACAAAGAATTCGTGTAGCCGACCCCAAATAGTTGGGAAATTGATGATGTTTATTAAAAACTCTAGAGACATTCACTATTTCCTAATATTGGGAATCTCATTTTAATCAAATTTAATAAATGCATGTGATATCCCTCTACTAGTATCAAGAAATAGTTTAACATTGCCATTTGAAAAAAATAAAATTCTTTAATATTAGTCCATCGGACTATATCAAAATCCCCAAATTTAGGTGAGGCTCCTTTGCTGTATCCCTTAATTTTCTATTATTTTGTTTTTCTACATTTTTAAATAATGTCACAATAAAAAAA